CTAATATTTATAAATGTTCCATGCATGCTTGAGAAAAATATATACCTAGTAGTTGGGTAAAGATCTAAATATGTTATATCTGTTAAGCCAAGACAGATAATTGTGTTGTTCCAACAAAAAAACAGAAACAAAAAACACTTAGAGACTCCATGGGCCATAGCTTGAAGAAGGGAGAGGCTGAAGGTAGAGAGATCAGACAGGGGTGGGGAAGAGATGTGGTGTATACCTCTTCTAAGATAGCATGACAGAATGTGGCAGCTGAGGGGGGAAGAATAAATACCACTCTAGGTTGGAGGGTTCAGGAAATTTGTTTTAGGCACATTGTGGGACACAAAGGAGAGCTGTCCAGGAGGCAGAGGCTGATAGCTGAATTCATGGGCAAGAACAAAGTCACTTAGGAAGTGTGGTGAAGCCAAAAATTGTGACCTATGCCATTCTGGAATTGTACACCAGGCATCTTCGGTAACTTGCTCTATTTATACACATATGACTGTGTCTTGACTCTCCAAGGGTATAGTATCAGTGACCTAAGGGGTATGACTCAGTCCCTACCTGCCATTGTCAGTCCAGCCCCAAAATGTCTGTCCTCTACCTGCCATCATGCCCGCCAGGTGTCCCTTTTTGCCTTGGGTGTTGTTCAGTGTTCCAGGCTCCCTTTGACGAAAAAAGTAAAACTTAACCCCAAATCGGTTCAGCCCAGAGCAGATTATAGGCAGGGAAAGGTGCAGGGGGCGGGTGGCACCACAGACAACCCTGACCTACTTAACTGTTCTGCCTGCAACCTGTCCAGCCCCAGGCACAAGTCAAGTCGCTCCTCAACATTCAGGTCTCAAATGACTGGATTTCTGGGTCATTTACTGGGTCCAGTGCCTGCCTGGCCCACCTGCATCCAGATAAGGAACTGGTAGTGCTATTGGGGGAGGAGGGAAGGGGATAAGGCAGGAACTGAGGTTAGATGTCAGGAAGGACTTTGCTGGTTTCACCTGGAAAGGATAACATGGGAATTCAGAATTCTAGGATGCTTGGGATCCCTGGAGATGTGAAAAGAGAAGATGATTCTGTGGAATGTTTTGGAGGCAGGGGAGGAAGCTGCACCAAGCATGCATTACAGTAGCACAGGATCACATGAAGCCTTGTGTCTTTCCATCCCCTTCACTGTCTGGGAACTCTCCCATCTCTGTGTGTGGGTGCCAGAGAGAAAGAGAGATTGAGAGAGACAGAGAGGGACAGACATAATTACCTAGTGCTTTGCATTTTACAAAATATTTTTCCATCATTAACCCTTCCAGCCTCGGTTTTCTGGAGTAAAATGGGCATAGCAATAGTTGGCATCTCATAGAGTATTGGGAGATCATTGGAGAGAACACATGATTAAGACCAGGAGCATTGACAGGTGAAAGTAATGGTTGTTATTCAATATCTCAGCAGTTTCACAACCAGGAGAGCTAAGGAGGGCAAGTGTTACTACCCCTGCTTTACAGATGAGTGGCTCCGAGATGGAAAGTGCCTGGTTCGAGGTCACTTAGATTTAAAAAGCAGTGCAGCCGTCCTGATGACACTTTTGGTCTCCCTGGCCAGGGGTCAGATGCGGAGACCTGGGTGGGGACCGAGCTCCCGCCAGGGGGCGCATGGGCCAGGTGACATCACCCTCCTCCCCTCCCCGTCTTCGCGGGGCGGAGCGGAGTGTCCGCGCTCATGTTGCTTCCGCACCACCGCATCCGGCCGCGCCCGGGCCCTGAAATTCGCTGTCCCGCACCAGGCGGGAACTCAAATTGTGGTTCGCACTGGGAATAGCTGCGATGGGGGAAATGAGGTTTGGTTCTGGAAGCTTTCCAGGGCTGGAGGTACGGAGTAGAGGAACGGCGTGTGGGGAAAAGCACCAGGCCGCTTAGAGGAGGACCGGGAGAGCACTGTGCTGAGGCTCATCCTAATGACTTTTGGTGCCACGCATTTCCAGGGTCCTCACCTCTTTCGTCCAGGCTCTCAGACACGGACTCCTTTAATTTCCTTAGCAAGTCCATACACATGTCACCCCGTTTTAAGAACAAGGAGCTGGGTCATAGATGAGTGTTTTGTCCAGGGTCCCACAGCTGGTATCTAGCAGGCCCAAGATGGAAATCTATGCTCTGAATCTGAACCACCCCCAAACCCCATAGAAAGGCCTGGAAGAAGGTGGCCATCACAGGCAGAGGCCCCTAATTTGTGGGGTCCTGCTGACTCATTTATCACCCACCCTGCAGTCTGGAGCCAGAACGCCATCTGGCTCATTGACAGGAAGCACCAGGACTGCCAAGGCTGTAGAGGACTGAGTGAGCACATCCTCTCCCAGAGGGTACCCACATAGGAAACCAGGCCATGAGGAGACAGCTAGAGCCGCCCAGCTAGGACACAGGTCATTGATGGGTTGGGGGGGGATGGGCTCTGCCCATCTGAGGTGCCATCTTCACACTCCCTGCCAACTTGACCCAGGAACCAGACGGGCCTGAACACTAGCCTGACCTCCCTGTCACATCTGCTGGCTGGCTGACTCCCCTCAGACCGCCACTCTGCGTGTGTATTGAGACGGTTTCAAGCAGGGCCTGCTGCCCAGAGAGAAGGGCTCTCTAAAGTAACTAAATTTCTCTGTTCACATCCATTTTAAATCATTATCATAACTGAACATTCTGAGAATAATTTACATCCCTAGCAATTGGGGTTCTTTTGTCAAGCCACCCCCACCCACACACATACTTATACTGCCCTCCTCATCCTCTTTACATATTTACCTCAAAGAACTGATATATTTATCAGTTATACTTGAGCCTGATTTTACTGGGGCTCTTAGCTTTTCAAAAGTTTAAGCCCAACAATTCACCATAGAAGATTAAACTAGAGGTAAATTTCTGTGTTGCAGTGGCAGCCACCCCAGCTAGGACATCGGATGAATACACAGACTGATGCTTTGGCCAGAAACACCACACAGGTGATGACCAGCACAAGTCATGGCAGAATCAGGGCTATTTGGCAGATTTCTCATGCCCAGACCTCCCCACCTTACATGAAGCAAAGTGCTAAGAGGAAAATGGTGAGGCCCAATAGGGGACCGCCTCCCACAAGTGATTTTTTCTGCAGAGCGCCCCCTTGTGGTCTGGAGCAATCACTGCAGTTGGGCAGACAGGAGGCAAGGGAGCTTTTTCTGACCTCTCCTCCTCTCAAGTTCAGGTGGAAACCCTGTGGTCAGAATGGAAATGAGTGAGACTGCAAATTTTTTGTCATTCGCATTAGAAAACCTGCCCTTCTGGGAGGAGTCTAAGAGAATTTAGGGGGGGAAATATTCTAGTAATTTTCTTCAACATCAATGTAAGTAGAGAAAGAAGTGACTGTAATGTTTTTTCTTCCTTCAAAGCATTGCTGGGCTTGACAGAAGCCTATTTAATATTCATATCTAACCCATGGGTACAAGCAGCACAAATGAGTGCTACCACACAGCTGGAGTCAGGCATGTGAAGACCATGTGGGGAGGAAAAAGCAGATGAGTGAAACAAACATTTTTTGAGTACCTCTGGGAGCCAGATATTGCACTTGTAGCTTAAAGAGTCAACAACACATGAATAGAATGTAGACACTAACCTGAAAAACATGAGTCTGCTGGTTGGATTAAGGTAACAGCATGATAAAAGATATGTCACAAAGTTACAACAGTTCTGGGGTGCAAAGGGGGAAGAACTGGCTGTTTTGGTGGTGGCGGTGGTGGTGGTGGAAGTTCTGGAAATGCTTGGCATGCTCCAAGGAGAGAGACCAGCATATGACTAAATTTGTTTTCAGGTTATCCTGTGGCCATGTGTGGGATAGGCTGAAGGAGACCAGGGCAGGAGTCCTGAAAGGCCAGGCAGGAGGCAGTGAGGAGATCCAGGGAAGAAATGCAGGCTCCCTGAGGGGCTAATGGTGCTAGGAAGGAGCCCAATAGGACTCTCAGGTTTGGGTACAATGGAGACTTCTGCAAGGACAGAGAGAGGAGTACAGGTTTAACTCAGCCTGACTCATTGCCAAAGGGCACTGCAAAGACTAGAGAATACTCAGGGAACCCCTTACTTTGCATCTGCTAGGAAAGGAATACCTTATTTTTTCACCAACCTCAGCTATATATGCAGGTTTGATATTGGAGTACATGGACTCATTTCCCATACAATGATATACTTAACTAACTTTAATGAAGCCTGAAGCCTTTAATTAAATTAAACTGAAGAATGAAGCCTTGACATTGGTGCCAACTCGAGCAACCTGCTGGTCAGGGACCAGTGAGCAGTCTGGGTTGTGTGGGAATACCTCCTCCCCTTCTGAGACATGTGCTCAGGGCCAGGGCCAGTGAGATTGTGGGGAAGGGGAGGTCCACAGTGCCAGAGC